CTGGGCTCTGCTCTGCTGCAGGAGCCGCTGCCTTCTGTTGGGGGCAGGGGGCTATGGCCCCAGGTCCCTGGCCCCATAGCCCTGGCAGCTGCAGGTCCCTCTGGCGGGGCTGGAGTTGAGGGGTACCAGCAGGGTTGGGAGGGGGGTGAGAGGCACCAGCAGGGCCAGGGGGTTGTCAGGTGGCCTTTATTTTTAATCATGGATTGTGGGGGTTTTATCAGAGAATCTGAATTTTTTTTATCAGCGAAAACCAGGATCCCTGCTAATCACTAATAACCCCAATTCTCCCTTCTACAATTTCCTTTTCCTTTTATACATTCCCAGGTTGGTTTCCTGAATATCTAATGAGGTTCTAGGTGCTTTTGAACTCCATTAGATAACTTTGCTTGTGTAAAAAGAAACTTGGCTTAGGTTCCTAAGCTTTTCTATTCTGGATTTCTTTGTACAGTCTAGCACCCCAGACATATATTAACCCACCAACCTATCTACATCTGTGGATGACTGCCCAAAACATTAGACAATATTATGTCTAATTAAATAGTAGATTCATATCATATCAGTATGAAAAGACCATACATACTAAAGCATGAGGTAACACTGGTAAGCCACTTGATATAATAAAGTAACATACTGCAGATGGAAATTATATACTTAGGAAACAGTGAACTGGATACTGATCAGATATTTCTCATAGCAGCATGCAAAAGCACCACATTTTGTGTTACTGGTATTCCCTATTGATACAGAGAAGGGCTCATAAAGGTGAGCAAAATAAGTATAAAATTCTAATATGCCATTACCACAGTGTGCCTATTCACGTATATCAGGCTGGCCACAACAAATTTGATTTATGTTATGTAAAATTATTTATATTTTTCTGCATCATTTTTCCTGTATGGATTAGAACCTCTTCAATATGCACTTTAGTGAACTGCAGAGTTTATGATCTGTGTACCAGTTGTGTTCTCCTGTCTCTCAAACAAATAACAGCAGATACTGTGAAGAATTTTAACGATAAGAATTCTTTTTTTTAAACACAGTATATTTCAGCACAGTAGCTAGTAGACTATGAAATATTGTCACTGATTTTAAACTGCACCTGAAAAAATAAATGAACGAAGAACATTTTCTGATGCATTACCCTTACACTTTTCATTTATGCTTGTTCCCAGTTATGTGATTAGCAGGATTCTACTGGATCTTTTTTGTTGTGAAGAGCCATATAGTGAATGTAAATGTCACTACATTCTTTGCTACTGCAAGACAAGGATATACATGATTTGTACCCAATAGATATCTCCATTTGAAAAGCCCAGCCTCATTGCAAGCACAGTGAATTACAGTCTGGCCTTCTTCCACAATTTCCAGTGCTCACCTCAGGTTACAGCAGTTTACGTAAAATGAGATGTCGACTGGTATTGTGACATGGGATCTCCACCTGGTCAACAGTCAGCTTTCCTAAACATACTACCACTAACCTTCAATACTTATAAATGAATTCTGGTCACAGTATTGAACTGCTTTAGACCAAAGTCTCTGCTCACGTGTCTTTCAACAGGAAAGCATGGAGGCAAAGCTATAACAAAACAAACAGTGGGTGAGGGATATGTCAATAATTGTAAAATACTTTTCCCGCCTCCCACAGCATTGACAGCACTGTAGACACATATAAGAGACATGTCACCAATACTAGATGTAAACAGAACATAATAATGTAGGAGAGGACTCTCTTATGCAGAAGTAGTATTAGCCAATGCTTCTTACAAAAACATGAAAATAAGCTCCATGGTTTAGCCAAAAAAGACTTGTATGTAGCTTTGCCAAGATTGTAAGATAGAGGGCCCAACAACATGGCAAAACTGAAGTGACATACACTAAAAAATGAGTGGTTTGTGGACATCATGAGATAACTTACTACGTTAGTAGTCAAAAACCCTTTAGCTCAAATACTTCAGAATCTTTAGGGTGGGTTGAAATCCATATGTGAATTTCGAGACAGATTTCACCAACTGGATAGCTCAATTTCTAAATTCTCAAAAGGATTTAAAAAGAAGCAACAGTAGATAGATACAAACAAAAAACACCTGTTTGACACAATTAACAAAAATAGTAATAAAATAACTAGACTGTCAAGAAGTTTTTCCTTATGTCCAGTCTAAATTGGACTTCAAAAAGTTTGTGGCCGTTAGACCTCATTATCCCTTGGGGAACCCTGGTGAACAACTGTTCTCCCAGATCCTGGTGCACCCCTTATATACTTATAGGCTGCCACCAAGCCTCTCTCCAGGCTGAAGAGTCCCATGTCCCTCAGGCTCTGCTCATAAGGCTTGCTCTATTGGCCTTTGATCATGGGTATCTTTCCTTTGCACTCTCTCAAGGTTTTCCACGTCCCTCCTGAAGTGGGGGACCCAAAACTGGATACAGTACTCCAGCTGCGGCCTCACTAAAGCCGACTAAAGTGGGAGGATGACGTTCCTGGTTTTGCTTCAGATGCATCAGTGGATGCATGCCAGAGTTTGGTTTGCTTTGCTGGCTGTGGCATCACATTGGTGGCTCATGTTCATCTTGTGGTCAATCAAGACCCCCAAGTTTCTTTTGGTTGTGGTGCTAGTGAGCTTAGCACTGCCAAGCCTGTAAGTATGATGCTGGTTTTTCCTCCCATGGTGGAGCACCCTGCACTTTTCTACATTGAATGCCATCAGGTTTTTGCAGGAGGGCCAGAGCAGTGCCATGTAGTGAAAGATGTAGAATACACTTTCACATGATGATGCAGGTGAGAAGTGGGGCAGTGCTAGTGGGGTTGTCAGGCCTCAACAATCCCAGGACTTGATTGTATGTGCTGCACTGGTTATTAAAAGGGCAGGCTTGGGGGGGTTGGGCAAGCAGCTGTGGTCCTTAGCACAATGTCCAGTGCCTTATCTCAAGATCTTGGCATGCAGCCAGGTGCAGGAGGGGAAGGCAGATGGGGAGAGGGATATCAGTAGCTCTTGCTCCAGCGCTGAGTGTACAGCATATATCTGATACACAATGTGTCAATCAGGCTGTTACCATAACTGTTCCACAATTGACAGTGAAAGGAGAGGAACCCACAGCACAGAAAGACAGAATGATCTCTGTTATGGACTTACCTCCATAAGAAAATGACAGTGCTTAACTGTTTAGTTGAACCAAGGTGGTCTGCATGCACCCACAGTCATCATGGAATGAGGGTGTGGACAGTAAATTGCCATGAGGCTGAGTCTGGCGTTCCTGCTCCCTTCCCAGAAACACATGCTGGTAGTGTTTCCAGCCCCTTGCCAACCTCTTGTACTCTTGCTTGATACCTGTGGTATACAGGTAAACAAAAGCAAAGGTTTGGGCTTCCCACCTTGGCACAAGAAAACTTACCATATGAAGGCAGGGAAGGGGTTCCATGTGTTCTATTATACTGATTGTGTCCATGGGGCTGGGACAAGGTCAGCATTGTGAGGAGCAATGCAGGCAGCACTGGAGAGCTTGGGTTGCACACCCTTTGTTATTAGGGTTGGTGGGGAAGTTGCAGACTGGAGACACCCAGAGAACTGGGGCTGGTCACTGTCCAACTCAAAGTCTATCTCTATGTCCATGCCACTGTCCTGGAGAGGCAGAGAGTTCTTAACCTGGCTCAGTTCCATGGTCATCTCTGAGGTCACCATGGGGGCATATGGCTGAGTGGACCCACAGTGATGGTGTTATCCATGTCTATATCTATGTCCTGGAAGATGAGCATCATGCTTTCTGTGTGCTGGCATACACCATGTCATTTATCGTGGAGGACAGCTCCTCACTGTATGCGCGCATCCCCCTGTGTACATTGGACATATGGTTGGCATCATAGGCCTTCATGAACCACTAACTATCTCAGCATCTTGTATTTTGAGTGGCAGTGATGCCAATTGTGCTTGTGCCCATGGACTGCCATTTTCATGGCAATCCACTGCCTGGTTACAGTGGCTGGAACAGAGTGCCTTCTGGTTTTCCCCCTTTGGATGCCTGCTGGTTCCTCCCCTCCCTGCTATCAGGTCCACTATTTCATCCCAGTTTCAGCTGGTGGCAGACAGTGGTGGGGGTAGTCGGTGAGGTCATGGCTTGAGCTCAGGATGGCCTCATGGGATGAGTGGCATTCACACAACCAGTTCTGATGTTGACCTTGACCACATGGATAGTAAGCATAAGTGTCCCACAAGTCAATATAGAGAGCAATCAAGGGTTAAGCCAACTATGACTTATCATAGCCTGCAATAATGGCACAATGCATCCAGGATGTCACGGGAAAAAGTAATTGAACATTTTATCCAGCATTCTTCAGTGGGAGTTGACCTGGGACAGCGGGAAGGTATGACTATAAAGATGCACTTAAGTGCAGGATGAAACCCATCTCCCAGGAGAAATGTAATGTCCATTTACAGTCTAAGAGTCGGGATTTCTTATATCTTTCCTCACTTGCCCAGAAAGTCTTCTCATTGTTTTTCTGCTTTTCTTTCTTTATTTCATGGTTGCACTAGCAAAGCCCACCATTGTTTTACCTCTAAAGGTTTTTACAGTTTGGTTATGAAAACATAGCAATATATAAAGTACATAAGGTTACATAACTTATTAATAATTTTCAATGTAACTAAGGATATAGCATGCACATATACACCCTGTATACAATTGCGCCTGCTTACTAATAGTCTATTACTAATTAAACCTTAGGTTAAAACCTTCTGGCAAGCTGTTTCCTGTTGTGATTTCTTAAGTTAAATTCCAGAACTTACTAGTGGTTTTGCTTGGAATTTTGTTTACTTTAAACCTTTTGCTAAAATACTAACTGCAACACTTACAAAGTTACTGTAGTAAAACATATTTGTATATGTCTTTTTACTTTATAACCTGATACCATTTTTTGCTGAAGCACTTGGTATTTTCCAGTTCACAACAAAGGATAAGTCATAGGAGGTAGATGAGTGTAGTTAAAACTAATAAAAAAAATAAGTGCCAGATGTGCTTATAGTAGGATATAACTTCACCAAATAATAGTTGACATTGCATAGATGGCATCATTTGAAACTGATTTAGTTGCAAGAATTAAGGTAAAACAAGAGCATTGTCATTAGAATGCCACAAATAACACATCAGGAGATGGCACACTAAGATATATACTTCCTACCAATCAGCTGTGTTGCTTTCTTAATAATTGTTAGCATTCTGCATTTTCTTATCTCTGGAAAAACACAAAGTGTTTTACTCTTTCATAACTTCCCTGTGGAGTTGTTGGATTTATATTTAGGACCCAGATGCCTTGTTTTGGGGGAATGGGGTGGGGACCCACCCTCAGCCCGACCGTGACCTTTTTATTCAATAAAGGCAAATTTATTGATACACAGCGATAACAGAAAAGAAACAACACAAACAATCAAGCATTTTTATATATTTACCAAATCCTAGGGCTGTCAAAGTACATCTGGCCAGGGTGCAGACTTCCCCTTGAGGCTCTTTCTAAGGTGTCAGATGTTAGCATGTCAGCAACCTGGAGGTGGGATGCCAAGGCCCACACCCCACTCTAGTGGGTGGATAAGATGGGCTGGTGACGTGTCTTTTGTCCATAGTGGCCTCGGCGACCCTTCCTGGAGGATGTGGATGGGAACAGGGACCCTCTCAAGGAGGAGGACGGGGAGGAACCCTTTGTTACTTTGAACTCTGTTTTTGTATTCTCCTTCCCTTTTGATAACTCGTGATGACTTTTGATCCGTGTCTATCACTAGTTGGTCTCTCTTTGTGGTCACACATTCACGTAACTTTCTGGGCCTTTTTCTAACTTGGTCTGTTACCCGAAAACGGGGACTCAGCCCTCCCCTCCTGCTCTGGGGCCTTGTTAGCTGGTACCCCTTTATTTTATGTTATGAGACAGTACGGTACATGTCCCTAGTTTCCAGACTGTTTTCCAGACTATGTGTCCTTGTTGGTCTTGTTGTGTTAGACAGCCTGTCTGCTTTCAAGGCTGTGTGACTATGTGACTGTGTGACCCAGAGTCTTAGAAATCAGTTAACCCCTACTGCCCATCCTGAACCATTTTAATCCATATATGTATACCTATAATCCAATTTCCAAAAAAACAAACCTTTAAGTACCATTTCATAGATTTCATAGACGTTAGGACTGGAAGGGACCTTGGAAGATCATTGAGTCCTGCCCCCTGCCCCAGGGGCAGGAAGTCAGCTAAGGTCAAACGATCCCAGCAAGATAGACGTCCAAACATTTCTTAAGAGTCCAAAGTAGGTGCTTACACCAACTCTGGAGGCAATCTATTCCAGGCCTTGGGGGCTTGGACAGTAAAGAATTTTTTCCTTATGTCCAGCCTGAAACGTCTTGGAGGAGTTTATGACCGCTTGATCTTGTCTTCCCTTGGAGCGCTCTGGTGAACAGGTGTTCCCCCAGATCCTGATGTAAACCCTTTATAAACCTATAGGCAGTCACTAGGTCACCCCTGAGCCTGCACTTTTCCCAGCTGAAGAGTCCCATGGCTCTCAGCCTCTCATCATAGGGCCTCTGATCATGCACATGACTCTCCTCTCGACTCTCTCAAGCTTTTCCACATCCTTTTTAAATTGTGGAGCCCAGAACTGGATACAGTACTCCAGCTGTGGCCTCACCAAGGTCTAGTATAGTGGGGGATGACATCCTGAGATTTGCTTGAGAAGCATCTATGGATGCAAGCCAGAGTTTTGCTCGCTTTACCAGCTGCAACATTGCATTGGTGGCTCATGTGTATCTTATGGTCAGTCATGACCCCAAAGTCCCTTTCAGCAGTGGTGCTAGCAAGTGTAGCACTGCCGAGCCTATAAGTGTAATGTGGGTTTTTTTTCCCAAGGTGGAGTACCTTGCATTTTTCAGTATTGAATATCATCAGGTTTTCATCCACCCATTTTCTGAGCCTGTCAAGTTCGGCCTGGATCACCAGCCTATCCTGAGGAGCGGACGCTTTATCCCAAAGTTTGGTGTCATCGGTGAACTTGGCCAGTCCGCTTCTGACACCAAAGTCCACATTGTTAATAAAGATGTTAAAGAGTATAGGTCCAAGGACAGAGCCTTGGGGGACCCCACTGGTCATGGAGGACCATGATGATTTACTTCCATCGATTACCACTCTCTGGGTCTGACCTCGGAGGCAATTCCCCAGCCATCAGACTGTGATATAGCCGAGGCCGCAGGTGGCCAATTTTGCCATGAGGAAATCATGGGACACTAAATCAAAGGCTTTTTTAAAGTCAAGATATATGACATCAATCTCTTCTCTTTTGTCCAAGTGATATGTCACCTGATCATAGAAGGACACACAATTCTAAGCCAACAGAGTAAGGCTAAGATGTATATAATAGATAAATGGGAAAAATGGTTTTATAATTAAGACATTGGACTAGGATCTAAGAGACCATGATTAACATGGATTTCACATGTGAACTCAGGCGGTTGGTTACTTTTGCTGTTGGCACTTTTTGCAGCTGTAAACCCCAATGATCTGACTTGGATTTAGGATGGGCCAGTACAAGTGTTATAAAAATAGACTTTTTGCCTATTGCTTTTAATTTTATGTATTTTCTTGAGTTTTGCATTGCCTTAAGAAACTACAAAACTACATTTTGTATTGTTCTGTAGCTTGATATAAGTGCTCAACCTTTTACTCTTTTGTATGCTGTATGGGTGAGAGTGTGTTTGTGGAAAAGGAAAACATCAGCTGGCGACTGGCTGAAGAATGCAGACAGATAAAAGACCAAACAAGAAGAATTCACCCCAGAACAGTGAGAGAACAATGGCAAGCGACCTTCAAGAAAGAACACAGTGATAACCCAGCAAAAACCCAGAGGACTGGGTGAGTTGACAAGGCTGTAAAACATGGGGTGAGACGTATCAATTTTGGGTCTTGTTCTGCATGTCATCCTGGAGCATCAGTTCGTCTAACGAGATGGACTGGCAGGAGCCCAGCTCCTACTTGTGATCAACTTAGCTGGCCACTAAGTTGAACCAATCACTGATCAGACTGGTAATGTATACCAGCACAGAACAGAAATTGGGGTATGAATGTGGTATGTGTGTGTATTAAGTGTTTAATCAATAAATGTGGCGTCTTGCCTTCTCTTCCCTCATAAGGTCTCACTCATGATTTGAGCAATTGGCAATTTGTGTAGTACAAGGGCCTGGCCCTCACTGCTGCTTCTCACTACTACTCAGGGTCAGCATGGATGAAGCCTCCCCAGTCCTCTGCTGCTAAAGCCATGCATCGTCCAGCCACTGTGTGGTGTGATCAAAGTCCTTGCCCGCTGAACTCCCATGCCACCTGGATCTTACATTATCTACACCTATATTTTCCAGTCTTTTCTACTACTCTTGATCTTTGAAAGAAAAAAATTCAGGACAAGGGCCTTGTAACTGATTCTATGCTCTTAGATGGTACTTTTAGGCATAACTGGAATACAAAAAGGCTGACTCCTAAGTTCTTATTTAGATTTCCCAAAAGCAATCTGATTTTTCTAACTATATGGGCATGTCCAGATGAGCCTGCACATGACTCTTGCTGCGTCTCAAAGCAGTTTGAGACATGACAAGAGGCACGCTGGGAACAAAAAAATGTTCCTTGTGCTGCATATTTGTAGTGGGCGCTCAAAATTTGATACCTGGATATCCAGGTATCAAAAAACAAAAATCCCACAGAAAAAAAGCAGGGCCAAAGTGCCAAAGTGTATAGATATTTAGAATCTATTTTATTATGATGATAGAGGCACTGGTAAGCTATAGCCCCCCAACAGGGCCAAAGTCCCCCAACACATGCCCACAGCCCCTCAACAGGGGCCACATGCCCCCCCGCAGGGGCTATCGCCCCCTCCCCCACAGGACCTATGTGCCCCCTGTGTGGCCCCAGCCCCTGCTCCCTCCCCCAGGCCCCCCGATCATTTCCCCGCCCAGTCCCAGCCCTCAATCGCTGCCCTGCCCAGCCCCAGCATCCCTGCACTCACCGGCTACAGCAGAGGCAGACCCCATGGTCCCCTCCTCCAGCTCCCCCAACCCCCTACTTACCTGGCACGAAGGCGGGTCCAGGTTCCTGCAGCCTGCACCCCTGCTTGCCCCACACAGACAGGCAGCGTGCTTCAGCACCGGGTCAAGAGCCAGCCATAGAGATGCTCTGGCTAGCTACCAGAGCATCTCTCTGGAGGACCGAGCCTTCAGTTACCTTGGTCCAGTTGCCTGCCCCTTTTTTTCGCCCAGATTTTTTTTTGACCCCTTGATATCCAGGTATCTAACATTGCCCCTGTGCTGCAAATCTGCAGTGCAGGGAATGTTTTTTTGGTCCACACATGTGTCTTGCAGCATTTCAAAGGGGTTTGAGATGCTGCAAGAGGCACGTGCATGCTCATCTGGACACACCCTGTGAGGCTAAAGGAGTCTGGCTAAGAAATGTACTTAAAGCCATCTTGGATTTAATAAAGCCCCCAAATCAAGTAAGCATCTTCTCCCTCTCCCTGCTCTTGGCACCCCCTTCATTATGCTCTGTGTGTAATTACACTTCCCCACCCCTTTCACCTCTTGCCATCTCTACTTATGCCTTTGGTTTACACAGGACGGGAAAACCTGCCTGCTGCCAACACTATCCCAGCTGGAGTTGTGTGAGGAGCCAGGTTCATCCAGGGACAATGGCAGGTGGGTTCCCCCTCCCTGAGCCTGTTCCTGGTATGGTGAGGAGCACTGGTGAGGGGGAGCAGGCAGGGAGGGGAAACCCACCCTTCCTCCACTACTGCCATTGCTGCCACTACCCCTGGCTGAGCCTAGCTCCCTGTACAGCCTGGCTGGAGAATGGTAAGAGTGGCTCTGGAGCTCCCCCATCCCTGGGTCATCCATGGACAATGCAGCTGCAGTTTGTGGAATGGTAGGGGAGGGGAGGGGAGGGGAGGGGAGGTACAGGTAAGGGAGGAGGTGCTGAAAGTAGAGAAGATTCATATCTTCTTCAGAGACTTATCATAGAATCATAGAATCATAGAAATAGGGTCAGAAGGGACCTTGTAGATCTTCAGGTCCGACCCCCTGCCTGGGCGGAGGAAAAAGACTGGACTCAAATGAGTCCAGCCAGGTAGTCATCAAGCCTCTTCTTAAAGATCCCCAGGGTAGGAGCCAGCACCACTTCCCTAGGAAGTTGGTTCCAGCTCCTAGCGACCCTAACTGTGAAGTAGTTCTTACGGATGTCTAATCTAAACCTACTCTCTAATAATTTGTGTCCATTGTTCCTTGTCATGCCAGGGGGCACTAGGGGAAACAGTGTCTCCCCTAAACCCTTCTGGTCCCCCCTAGTGAGTTTATAGACAGTCACCAGGTCCCCCCTCAGCCTTCTCTTGTGAAGGCTGAACAGGTTTAGGTCCTGCAGCCTTTCAATGTAGGGTCTGCCCTGTAGTCCCCGGATCATG